TCTCCTTTACTCTGTAACATTTACAGCTGTGTTTTAGTTCTTCTTGGCTTTTATTTGTCCTGTGGCATTTCCTCCATTCAGGATTTGACTGATGGTATCCCCATAGTGTCCAGTTAGACCTAGAAGCTGATTTGATCCTGATTCGTTTATTTTCCCCCAAGAATGCTCTATAGGTGATGCTATATTCTTTCTCTTGCGTCATTTCAGGAGGAACATGACATCTGATTGTTCCACTTTCAGTGATTTTAATACTGATCAGTGGGTTCTGGTGGTACCACCCACTACAAAGCTTTTCATTAATCTTTCACCTGATGTTTTAGCAGCTATTGACGATTGTTGCCTGGATCCATTATTTCATTTTAGGGGTTGTAAAATAATGATTTTCTGGTTCTCTCAAACCTCTTGCATTTATCATCTATGATTCTTCTATAAGGAACTTTCTCTAAACCTGAATGGGAAAGATGGGATAAATATTTATCGATTTTTAGAGTGGGGTAGTGCCCTAGCAACCTCCAAAGTTGACAAATGAATACTTCTTTAAAGCAAGTATGGCCCAACCAGTACTTTGAAACAGCGTGTTTAGAATGGAGCAGGAAGAAACTGTATTTGAAAGCTCAAAAGCTGAAAGACTAAGAGGGCCTGAACAATAAGAGGACAGAACCAAGAGGAGTTGGCAACTAATTGGATGTGGGGAGTAAGGAAAGGTAAGCATCAAAGATTGCCTCCAAGTTTGTTAGAAGGTGAGCAGCAGGATTCTGATGCTGTTAAAGTAAATGCAGGTCTCAGTCAGATGAACCCCAAGAGCCACATGTATTTGAGGGGTGCTTTATTTGTCTCACACTTTTACCTGTTACATGGTTTTTAGTAATTTAGAATTTAGGCGTCACCAAACTGCGGCCCCCTGAGGCCATTTATCTGGCCCCCCGCCGTACTTCAGGAAGGGGCACCTCTTTCATTGGTGATCAGTGAGAGGAGCACAGTATGTGGCGGCCCTCCATCGGTCTGAGGGACAGTGAACTGGCCCCCTGTGTAAAAAGTTTGGGGGCGCCTACATACATCTATCAACATGGTGAGGTAGAGCACGTTTGGGAGGGAAGACATTGAATCCTATTTGATGATTGTGAGCTTGAGGTGCTGCCAGAACATTCCACTCAAGATAGGAGACTGTAGGAAATGCAAGATAGGAAAGGTTTCCACTTACATGTTAACTGTATCTCTAAATGGCCATCCAGGCCTCAATGTCTATGGTTATTTATGTGATTATGACCTATCCAAATCCTACATTTCTTAAAAATGGTCATAGATGAAGGGATCACAGTTGATAGATGTATGGTGACATTATTGGCTTCATTTCTAAATAACTAGAAACTGTGTAATAGGCAAAACTGTGAGGCAAACAAAATGCTTCTCAAATATGTGTGGCTCTGATGGGGTTTAATTTCTTATGGCTGCTGTAACTAACAAATCACCACAAACTTGGTGGCTTAAAACAACACACATTTATTCTTTTACTGTTCTGGAGTCCAGAAGTCTAAAATGAGATTCACTGGGCTGCAGTTAGTGGGCAGGGCCTTGCTTCTCTGGAGGTGTCCGTGATGCGTCCCATATTTAGTGTTTCCTGAGTAAGCCCCACCCATGCAGGTCTGCAGTGTTACCTGAACAGAGTTTTACACTCATTGCCTGTCTCCTGTGGTTTCTACCTAAAATTCTCTTCAATTTTTTTAAATAACAGTTTTATTGAGATACAATTCACATACTATACAGTTCACCTATACATTATACAATTTAGTAGTGTTTAGCATATTCAGAGATGTGCAACCATCATTTTTCTCACTCCCAAAAGAAACCCTAAACCCATTCGTATTTACTCCATTTTCCCACAACTCTAGGTAACCACTAATCTACTCTCTATCTTTATAGATTTGCCCATGCTAGACATTTCACATAAATAGAATCATACATGTGGTCTTTTTCACTGAGTATGTTTTCAAGGTGCATCCCAGCTATGGCATGAATTAGTATTTCATTCTTATTGCCAAATAATATTCTTATCATATGGATATGTCACATTTTATGTGTTCATTCATCAGGTGATGGACATTTGGGGTGTTTCTACTTTTTGGCTATTATGAATAATGCTGCCATGAATTTTGTGTACAAATCTTATGTGGACATGTTTTACTTCTCTAGAATTGGTGGATCATATGGTAACTCTTTCCTCATAACTTTGAATATCAAAATTATATCCATCTTTCAGAACCCAAACTGTGTTATTTCCAAAGTGTTCAAACATCTCCCGCTCAAAATGAATCTTCTTCCTAGTACTCCCATTGTTTACTATCTAATTGTTCTTACCAGTTTGTCTTAGAGCTCAGTCATTCCTACATAGCAGTTTTCATTATGCTGCTAATTTCTTTGTACTCTGAGAGCGGGGACAAGCTGTCTTACTCTTGTATACCACCACAAAGCAGTGAGTGCACTGTCGTGAAGAAAGCAGGAACTCTATATGTACTTTTGAATTGGTGAGGAATGAAAAGTTAAGAATTTTGTATGCTGGATCCTATAAAATGTGTCTAATAAATAATAATGTTCATTTTCAAATTTCAACAATTAAATGTTTAGCAAATAACACCTGAAGTAAATGTTGGTTAGACAAATGAATTTGGTATGTTTTTGTATTTATTTTGAATTTCAGAAACTACAGCATTTTGGATTTTTAATTAATAAGACATTTTAGAATTTCTAGATAGGGCTTTGAAAATAAACACAGCACAATATACACAAAAGTAAATGACAACATGGTACAAATTTGATTGTTTTACAGTTTCAAATTTCATATGAATGTTCTAAAACAAATTTTAAAATTCTTTTAAATGTTTTGGTTCCCTCAGTGTTCATTATTGCCTATTTATAAAGTCATTAAAGGCCTAAAAATAAGTTTTTATTCATATTGAAAGCCTGATTTTTTTCTTTAAGTTCAGGGTCTCTCACTATGTTGCCCAGGCTGGTCTCAAACTCCTGGGTTCAAGGGATTCCCAACTTCACCCTGAGTAGCTGGGACCATAGGCATGCACCACCGCACCTGGCTGAAAGCCTGTTTTTATCCTTCGATAGACAAGAACAGAGGGATATCTCCCACACTCTAAGCTGGTCTAGTTCTAGTCCTAGGCCTGTAAATGAAGACCACAATCCTGGTGAAGTCATGGGTTCCATCAGTGTTATTCTGGCGTTGTCAGCATAATTGTCATCAACATATTTAAAATATTTTAGGCCACGGAGCAGGTGTGGGTTATCCCCATAGTAAGAGGAGAAAGGGAAGCCAGTTCCTGTCTAACTCCATTCCATCTGAAATTATCCATTTGGCTTTGGGATTTGACTGAATGTTGGTATGTTGGCTGAAATGACACCAAAATATTGCAAGGGTAAAATGTGCTCCTCTGTTTTATTAGTAGCTATGAATATAATTATATATATACACATACATATATATGTGTTTTGTGTATATATATATATTTTTGTTTGTTTGAGACAGGGTCTTGCTGTGTCACTCAGACTGGAGTGCAGCAGCACGATCTCAGCTCACTGCAACCTCTGCCTCCCAGGTTCAAACAAATCTCATGCCTCAGCCTTCTGAGTAGCTGGGATTACAGGCATGTGCCACCATAACCAGCTAATTTTTGTACTTTTAGTAGTGATGGGGTTTCACCACATTGGCCAGGCTCAAACTCCTGGCTTCAAGTGATCTGCCTGCCTTGGCCTCCTAAAGTGCTGGAATTGCAGGAGTGAGTCACTGCACTTGGCCAATTTTATTATTTATTTTTTTAAACAAAAAAGTAAGTATTAACCCACAGCATCCAACCATATAAACTATTATATGTGTGTGTGTGTGTGTGTGTGTGTGTGTGTGTGTGTGTGTGTATGTGTGTATGTGTATATATATGTATATATACACATTCATAAAAATAATGGTTAGTTTTCTGGATGAAGAACTGAGGCCCAGAAGTTAACTGGATTAGTGGTTCAAGCTAGGCTGCACTTTAGAATCAAGGGCAGTGATGCCCAAGTCACAGTGACCAATGGCATCAGAATCTCTTGGGGTGGGATCCTTTTATTAATATTTTGTAAAGTTCCCCAAGTTAAACTTGAAAAGTGAATTGGGTCATATTAGGTCAGAGATTCATACAAGTTGTACTACTGATTATCTTACCCTAGCAAGTGTAGGTTATTTTTTGTGATTTTCTAATGTATACTGTACTCAAGCCTGTAATCCCAGCACTTTGGGAGGCCAAGGTGGGTGGATCACGAGGTCAAGAGATCGAGACCAGCCCCGTCTCTACTAAAAATACAAAAATTAGCTGGGCGTGGTGGTGCGTGCCTGTAATCCCAGCTACTCAGGAGGCTGAGGCAGGAGAATCGCCTGAACCCAGGAGGCGGAGGTTGCGGTGAGCCGAGATCGCGCCATTGCACTCCAGCCTGGGTAACAAGAGCAAAACTCCGTCTCAAAAAAAAAAAAAAAAAAAAAAATCACACAGGTGATCACAACTCCATCCAAAGAATAGTGGTGCTCCATACTTAACCTCAGCACTAGTTCTTACCCTTAGGTGCTTATCACTCATTCTTGGGACTTCAAAATAAATAAAAGATATAGATATCCAGGAAGCTACCTTAGACTAGATAAATCAAAATCAATCACTAGGAAAGACACCTGAGCATATGAACTTTCAAAAAGGTTCGTTTCTGATGCCTTACCCTGGATGCAGTTCTCTCATATTATGCCACATGGTATGTCCTTAGCTGTATTCAGTAAAATTACAGGGAAGCAGATTCCAGTTTAAGAGAAAACCATGAAAATAATTTAGAGCTACACAGTAATGGAATAGTTTTAAAGCAGTGAGCTCTGTGGCTGGAAGAATAAAAGCAAAGGTTGAATTATCACCTGCTGGGAATGGTATCAAGGGATTTCTAAATTCAGTAAGTACTTGGATCACATGATATTCGAGTTTCCTCACAATTCTTAAGTTTCTATAGCCAAAACTTCAACGGATCATATATAATGGATATAAATGTTGTCACGAAAGCTCATGATTTTACCAGAAATTATCACAGTTATTTTGTCTGTAAAATGGATTAGAATTTAGTAGTACTGATGGAACACTGCCTCTGACATCAGTCTTATTCAGGAGAATACTTTTCCCCTCCTCTTCATGCTTGGATGGAGGGAAGGGAACTTCTCTTTGCTCCTTCAAAGTGAAAAGTGTAGGAAAAATCTCTCTGAACCTTCATTCATTGCTTCCCAACAGAGAACTGTCTTATCCTATGGGAGATACTAGAAGGAACCAAGCATGTGCGGTCCAGCCCCTGATGGTTTCCCTGACCTTGAAAGCTAACTGGTCTCAGAATGCAAAGATGGGCTCTGCCCCAACAAGGCAGAGGTCCACCATTCTCTCCAATCCGGGAGAAATATTAGTGTCTGATTGGAGAAAAAGTCAACCTTCTTCTCTATTTCAGCTTATTCACTGACAAAGTAGATATTTTTCTCTTCCTGACTCCCATTTCTTATTTCGCAATTTGTTCCAAAGTGAAAAGGGAATAAGAGAGTACCTGTTGGTCCTTGAACTGCTCAGGTATCAAAATACAGCAATAAATTGTAACTGTCCATCTCTATGATACTTGTGTTCTGAAATGGCATTGCATTATTTTTTTCAAGTCAGTAAACACTCATATTCTAAAGTACAAAAAGAACAAAACATTATATAAAGTCCCTCTTTCTTTACTGGCATAAAAAATGTGGGATTTCTAACTGCTGAACTGTCTATCCCTAGGAAATAACAACATTTTTCAAGTTTCCACTTTATTGGGAATGATCTTAGTCATGATCTGCAGAAGTTGGTCCTGGACAATTAGAAGATAGGTCTTCTTTATCTGTAAGTTATGGGAGGGAAATGAAAGATTAATACAACTTCTATAGTAAACTATTCTAGAATATTATTTCACTATAACATGCATTTTTTGATCTGCTGTATTTGCTACTTATTCTGCTAAACAAACCAGAAAAGATAAAAGCAACAATAACCAAAAATTCTTCACTCTCAAGTACAAAGTTCTTAAATACAAGTTAGCAAAGGTAGCTGGGCAAATGTGTTTGAAGGCAAAACATTTGGCTGTCCTTCAAACGTACCTGGTAAGTGTAAACCATTTCTATTCTTACAATAAAAAAAAAAAAGGAATGGATTTCAACATACCTGATTTTTATGGTTTAGGGGTAATATTCTATCTAACTATATAAAAATTAACTCTAAAAATTTAATATATTTCAAATATCTGTAGCCAAAGAAAGAAACTTTAAAAATAAAGAACAAAAAATTCATTATCCTCAGGTTATTCTAAAATTGTTTCTCTTGAAACAAAACACTGAAAAATTCCCTTTCGCACATTCAGTTTCTGAAAAGTTAAATGCAATTTTAATAAAGCCTCAATTATTTCTATAGCCACTATTTAAGACATTGGTCCCACATTGCCATTTGAATGGAATAAGAAATTTCTGGCTGGCTGACTGTGGTGGCTCACACCTGTAATCCCAGCACTCTGGGGGGCCAAGATGGATGGATCACCTGAGGTCAGGAGTTTAAGATCAGCCTGACCAACATGGTAAAACCCCATCTCTACTAAAAATGCATAGCCGAGCATGGTGGCACATGCCTATAATACCAGCTACTTGGGAGGCTGAGGCAAGAAACCCACTTGAACCCGGGAGGCTGAGGTTGCAATGAGCCAAGATTACACCATTGCACTCCAGCCTGGGCAACAAGAGCGAAATTCCATCTCCAAAAAAAATATCAGAAATTTCCAGCCAGGTGTAGTGGCTCATGCCTGTAATCCCAGTACTTTGGGAGGCCGAGGGAGGCAGATCACCTGAGATCATGAGTTCGAGACCAGCTGACCACCATGGAGAAACCCTGTCTCTACTAAAAATACAAAATTAGTCAGGCATAGTGGTACATGCCTGTAAACCCAGCTACTCGGGAGGCTAAGGCAGGAGACTTGCTTGAACCTGAGAGGCAGTGGTTGCAGTGAGCCAAGATCACACCATTGCACTCCAGCCTGGGCAACAAGAGCAAAACTGTCTCAAAAAAAAAAACAGAAAGAAAAAAAATTTCCATTGTTGCTGGAAAATTACTTTAACTACAAATCAGAGAGCATTCATATTCAGTATTTTTTTAAAGTATAGAGCATTTTCTTACCTTCATAGGCTGTTCCACACCAAATACAATACAGATGTTCTTCTCTTAAATAACTAGTCAATATCTGTAATTTTTCCAGTACCTACATATAGGATACAAGCACATTAATACTTTACATTGAACAGAACCTTGTTTTTCTGGCTCTTAGATCATGCTGAATTAGCCCAAGGCTGCTATACTCTGGAATAGTTATTAGAAATGTCAAGGGCAGAAGTGATATATTCGAATGTGGTCCAGTTCACTAGCCACCCTGAGATTTTCACGATTCTGCCAGACACAATAAAGACTACTTGTTAACATTGAGAAAAATAGTTTTTGGGTGGCCTTATTATAATCCTTTAAAGGCCTTTTCTACTTTCAAGGCATCTAATTCTCCCAGACAAGGTGAAGGTGAATATTGCCTCCTTTTGCCATAAAAGTTCTCATCAGTGGCCTCCCAATTAAGTGGAATATAGGTTTTTCAAATTGTGAACATTTTCTACAAAATTATTATACTCAAGTAACCACAGATGTATATTTCCTTTCTTAAATAATCTCCATTTTCTTTTTTTTTTGGGACAAGGTCTCACTCTGTCACCTAGGCTGGAGGGCAGTGGCGTGATTTCAGCTTGCAACCTCTGCCTCCCAGGCTCAAGTGATCCTCCTGCCTCAGCCTCCCAAGTAGCTGGGATTTCTGTATGCCTGCCATCATGCCTGGCTAATTTTGGTATTTTTAGTAGAGACTAAAATACACCACCATATTGGCCAGGCTGGTCTTGAACTCCTGATCTCAAGTGAGCCACAGGCCTTGGTCTCCCAAAGTATTGGGATTATAAGTGTGAGCCACTGTGCCCGGCTTCCAGTTCCTTTTGTGTTTTTTGTTGTTGTTGTTGCTGTTGTTGTTTATGAGCAAAAAAGAAAAGTAACTATTAGAATCACTTCTAGAAGTTTCGCAGGAAATAAAGTTAAATTACAATATTTTACATTTTTTGCTAATTCATCAACCAAACTGAAGCTGAGATGAGAGGACAAATGGAAGCTAAAGGGAAATTTTATATGTAAGTTTTGATTTTTGGTTAATAAAATAATTCTGCAATGCAGTACCTCTCAACCAGGGGTTATTTTTCTGACATTTAGTAATGTCTGGAGAGAGTTTTGGTTGTCATAAGCAAAAGTGCAACAGGTATCTGGTGGGCAGAGGCCAGAGATGCTGCTAAACATCTTACAATGCACAGGAGAGCTCCCCACAACAATAACAGATTACCACAGCTCAAAGTATTAATGGTGCCAAGGCTGAGACACCCTATGAAGGAAATGGTGCCAAAGCATACACTTAAATCTTCACTCTTATATTCATCTTCATCCTCTTCTTTTTCTTCTTCATCTTCTTCAGTCTCCTCTTCAAGCCTCAACCAGTACCATGCTTCCCTGGGAACCTGAATATTCTGAAAAATACAGTTATTGTCAATTAAACATACTGAACATAAGAGCATGACAAATATGTTCCTGTCAACATGAATTCATTCTTTCCATACAAATCACTGAGTGTGGCTTTAAGAGTAAGAACATTGGCCGGGCGTGGTGGGTCACGCCTATAATCCCAGCACTTTTGGAGGCCTAAGCAGGCAGATCATGAGGTCAAGAGATCAAGACCATCCTGGCCAACATGGTGAAACCCACACCATTTCTACTAAAAAAACAATAATTAGCTGGGCATGGTAGCGCGTGCCTGTAGTCCCAGCTACTCAAGAGGCTGAGGCGAGAGAATTGCTTGAACCCAGGAGGCAGTGGTTTGCAGTGAGCCGAGATCACGGCACTGCATACCAGCCTGGTGACAGAGCAAGACTCTGTCTCAAAAAATAAAATAAAATAAAAGTAAAAACACTGTACTATGGGGATGCAAAGTCTAATTAGAATAGTTGAATTATCTCTAAGTTCCTCCTGACAGTCTATCAGGAAAGATAGGTTATGGGTACAAAATAATACATACATGCTACAAAATCATAAGTGCCATGAAATACATTCAAAGTAAAGTAATACGTAAGAACAGGAAAGTAAAAGATTGCTTCCAGTAATCTATATATGACGGAAATTTTACAAACGTTTTTGAGACTTCAAACAAAGTCATTTTATTTTTATAGTACTTGAACCCCTAAGACAAAAGCAAAGATAGAATTTATTTACTTATTTATTTATTTTTTTTTTAGTAGAGATGGGGATTTGCTATGTTGTCCAGGCTGGTCACAAACTCCTGGACTCAAGCAATCCTACCACCTTGTCCTCACAAAGTGCTGAGATTACAGACACGAGCCACCATGCCCAGCCAGAAATAGAATTTTTTTTAAACCATTCAAATTTGAACTAGATAGCATTCCACCTTGATTTTATTTTTGAGACAGGGTCTCACTCTGTTACTTCGGCTGCAGTGCAGTGGCACGAACATGGTGCAATGCAGCCCTCAACCTTCTGGGCTCAAGTGATTCTCCCACTTCAGCCTCCTGAGTAGCTGGGACTACAGGTATGTGCCACTACACCTAGCTAATTTTAAAATTTTTTGTAGAGATGGAGTCTTGCCATCTCTACACCTAGCTAATGTGCCACTACACCTAGCTAATTTTAAAATTGTTTGTAGAGATGGAGTCTTGCCATATTATCCAGGCTGGTTTCGAACTCCTAGGCTGAAACAATCATCCTGCCTTTGCCTCCCAAAGTGCTTGGATTATGGGCTTGAGCCGTCACGCCAGGCCCACCTGATTTTAATAGTTAAGACACATATTAGATACTGAACAAGAACTGAAAATAGGCTATTCTTGTTAATAAAATATTATAAAGAATAGAATTTCTGCACATACTAGTTGTAGCTGATATTCAAATAAGTAGAGAACAATTAAATGTAAAATTTTATTTAAGCCATTTTGTTTTACTATAAAATCCAGGGTTTCATAGACAACTCAGGTTACTGTAGTAAATAAGCCATTTTTATATCTGTTATCACAGTTCAGAAGTGAACATTACATGAAAGCTTTAATGAGTAGGTAAACCAGTCTTGGAGTTCTTAGTTTTTTGTTTAATATAAAAAATATGGGAACTCACAGTGGGTGCTAAAACACCTTACCACACAGAAAGCTGGTAAAAGTCTTACTTTCTGGGCATCCAATTGTTGACAGGCTCGCTGGCTTCTTCTGAGATCTCCTTCTAGCTTCATTTCATCTTGCTTATTTTTAAGTCGCAGTCTAATTGAAAGAAAAAATTATACACTAAAGGTCTAGATTCTCTTTAACCATTTTATACGCCCAAGTACCAGAGAATGTACCACAACAAAGGAAATAAAACCAAAATCAGTTAAAAAAAACACAGCTTTACCGAAACTGTTCTGCAGCTTTTTCTTCAGCTTGGTTTTTCATGTGAATCTTTTTTCTGTAGCTTTCTAATTTTTCCTCTGCTTTCCGTTTTAATGATGCCTCATGACCAATGCCACTTTTCCCTATTCAAACAGAAAATTCTGATGAGAAACATACTGACTTTTGCTTCAAAACATGACAATTTAACTATGTACAAATTAAATGCAATTCTCAGTTGAGTACTATCACTCACAAATCATTTGAATACACTAATAGGAGAAAACATTAGTTTTTTTAAGCCCAAACACATAAGCTGATTTTTACAAAGATTATTAATCTCATCTTATAAGATAGTAATAGTATACACAGCTTTTCAAATCAGAAAAATGGTATTAGCTGTTATACTTTTATTTAAATATGATTAATAAAATACATCTTTTTCTCTTGAAATCATCCAATGTATTAAGCAAAACATTTGGTGGATAAATCTGACTCAGAAAACTTTTCTTTTCTTTCTTTCTTTTTTTTTTTAACATAGGCTGGTATGCAGTGGCAAAACTACGGTTCACTGTAACCTTGAACTCGTGGGCTTCAGGAATCATCCTGCCTGAGCCTCCTAAGAAGATAGGACTACGGATGTGTGCCACTACACCCGTCTAATTTTAATAATTTTTGTGTAGAAACGAGGTCTTGCTATGTTGCCCAGGCTGGTCTCAGACTCCTGGCTTTAAGCAATCCTTCTGCATCAGCCTCCCAAAACAAAACACTTTTAAGACATTTCAATGGAGAAAAGCAGTATTGCACGTTCAATGGTTATGATTTGTCCTTCCCACATTTGTGTGGTTTACATTTTATCTTATACTCATTAAACTTATTTTTTTTCTGGTTGAGGAGGCTTAAAAGTTTAACAAAATTTTACTAAGGGCTTCCTATGATAAGAACTGTAACAGTATCATCATTTTAAAAAGTACTTATTGAGCAAATATATGTGGTAGAGCTAAGCATACATTATATATTACTGGCAAATATGCTCCAAAATAGTGACATACCTGTTTTAATATTGAGAGGAATCGGTTCAACAATACCACCCCCTAAAAGAGAATGAAATACAAACTACTTTAGAAAATTTTCCTCAAACTACAGGACACAGTAAGTATGCAACTTTACAATGCTCATACATATCCCTCCTTTTTCAATGATATTCAAAACTGAAATCTGAACATCAGTATTCTACATATAATCAATTACCTCCCTTGTCTTCAAATACCTAGTCTTCAAAAAGGCTGAATCACAGCCTCCTATGCCACCTGAAGGTGGAGTTTTAAGAAGGAACAACACCGATATTATTGGTGCAAGAGGTTGACTGCCTTACATAAAAACAAAGCAATTACAATAAAGGAAAGAAAAACTGGTGACAGAAGTTACTATAAATATACAGCCTCTCTATCTTAATAAGCAGTTTCACTTCCTAAAAGAGAGGTGAAAATTGAGCCTCTCCAACTGGATGGTCACTCGGGTGGCTGCCACAGGTATAGAGCAAGCAGGGAAAGTCTTGCCATCATCCTCAGTGTTGTTTCAATGTCTTTAGCCATTGCACTTCTCAACCCATCACTTATCACTATTCTTTGCTGCTTCTGTTGTAAGCCACATCCCTCTAGGTTGTTAGTGCCTTCAAGGCTAAGCTGGGTTGACAAGCAGCTCATGATGGCACATGTGGTATCTAAAATGGATATGGGAGTATGAAAGTTCTCCACAAGGCTTGCTAATACATAAGAGAGTAAAAAGCCTAAGTTGTTTTAATTTCTGTGTAGATGAAGATTAAAGCATTAGCTTTGGTCCTCATCCATAAGTCACAATTGGGTGGTAAGAAACACCTATTTCCACATGTGACTTACCACTCTTGCCAAGTGCCTGTCCACTTTTGTAGCCCATCTTTTGGAGCAAGGCAAACCCTTTGTTTTCACAGCCTAGTGCATTCTTCAACCCAATGTCACGTCTTTCTTGTTCTTCTTCTTTTAAACTCTTCTGCCTGTTTTTCAAATTAGCTTCCTGTTGCTTTTCTTCTTTTCGACGGGCTTCTCGGATTTGCCTTAGCATTGGCAATCCTGGTCTGATATCTTCTCTGTATGAGGGAAAAGGTCATTTTAGATGAACCCATAAAGTTTTGTCTCTCTCTCTCTCTCTCTTTTTTTTTTTTTTTTTTTTTTTTTTGAGATAGAGTGTTGCTCTTGTTGCCCAGGCTGGAGTGTAATAGCATGATCTCAGCTCACTGCAACTTCCACCTCCTGGGTTCAACTGATTCTTCTGCCTCAGCCTCCCGAGTAACTGGGATTACAGGTGCCCGCCACTGTGTTCTGGCTATATTTTGTATTTTTAGTAGAGATGGGGTTTTGCCATGTTGGCCAGGCTGGTCTTGAACTCCTGAGCCCAGGTGATCCACCTGCCTTGGCCTCCCAAAGTGCTGGGATTACAGGCGTGAGCCACCATACCCAGCCAAGTTTTTTCATAACTCTGTCCCTTACTCACCTGACAACAGTTAATATTTCGGCACTACCTTTATGATCATCTTTGTGATTATTATATTAGAGCATAATCAGTGACCTCCAAGAATGGCTGTTTTAGTAGAAATGATGAAGGCTTGTGCCAGATTGTAGGAAAATAAAGTACAAAGTTGAAGAAATCAGATATAGTAGGTTTAGACTTACTGTTTTTCTAGGATGTTGGCAATAATAAAGAACAAAGTTGAATAGTAGCTAGAAGAGACAATAAGATGAAATAAAGGAAAAGGAGTAAATTTCCTTGGAAGAAGGCAATAAAAAGGATCAAGGGCAAAAGTAAAATGGTTGGCATTAAAAGGAGGAAGTGGCTCCTAGTACCTTTGTATGGAGACATGGGAGGTATTTCTATAAAGCAAGAAGACTGACTTTCCAACTTCATATTTAAAATCATCGTCAGGCTGGGCATGCTGGCTCATAACTGTAATCCTAGCACTTTGATAGGCCAAAGCCGGAGGATCACTTGAGCCCAGGAGTTGGAGACCAGCCTTGGCAACATAGCGAGACCTTGTCTCTACAAATAATAAAAAAGAAGAATTAGCCAGGCATGATGGTGCAGGCCTGCAGTCCCAACTACTTGGGAGGCCAAGATGGGAGAATCTGAGCCTGGAGAGTTTGAGGCTGCAGTGAGCTGTGATTGTGCCACTGCATCCAGCCTGGCTGACAGAGTGAGACCCTGCCTCAAAAAAATAAAATAAAATAGAATAAATGTCACTGCTTAATATCTACATATCTTATATGTATCATTACATTGGGTGTGCACGCTTACTTACTGGACATTAATGAAGGAATCAGACATATAGTCCTCTTCTTCTGCCATGTTCAACTTCATATGGCTGTAGTATCTACAAATAAAGTAATAGTTTTTTTTTTTTTTAGTTACCAATATGGAAATAAACATTTCTGCAGCCATGAGCTGTCTCTAGAGCTCTACTACACATTCAAGTGCCCTTTGGACATCTTTATCTGTGGATGTTTCAAACTCAACAATCTAAACAACTCATTTCCTGCCCCCCTTCCCCGGCCTTCTACATCCCCTATATTTCCATAATAATGTCATCATTATCTCCTTCTTCCTGACCTCTTATGAACCTCTGTCGAGTATTCCTTCATAAAACTCCTCACAGGCATTTTTTCTTCAGTTTTGACCACTGTTTTGGCTCAGACACTTTTTTTTTTTTTCTCACCTGAACTATTATAACAGCTTCTTCTTTTTTTTTTAAGATGGGGTTTCACCATGTTGGCCAGGCTGGTCTCAAACTCCTGACCTCAAGTGGTCCTCCCAAAGTGCTGGGATTACAGGCGTGAGCCACCACACCCGGCGTACAACAGCTTCTTAACCAGCTTCTAAATTGGTCTCCTTGCCTTTGGCTTCTCCTCTTCCAATCATCCTCTGGACCCCATCCAGAGATTTTTTTGTTTATCTGCTCATTTGTTTTTAAATACAAGTCAGGTCAGGTTACTAGCCTGTTTCAAATCCTTCATTAAACCTGACCCTGTAGGCAGTGGGGGACCAGTCACTTTTGCAAAGCATGAGCTGTTGTCCTTCATAATCTGACACAACTGTCCCTAAGGATTCATTATTGAAGCCACATAACTTCTCACTGCCCTCTGAACTCAGCACAGACATTTCTTCCCTGTAGGCCAAGGCTACCCTCTTTTCAGACACCTGTCCTGACCACTCCAGGCCTTTCTCTACAGTACTTTATATTCAAGCTGCTCACTTGGAACTTGATATAGTTAACACCGCACTTATATGGAAATATTTTGAAGAACAGTTTCTATCCAAAATAGTTAAAACCATGTAATTATTGACCCTTAAAGGTTAAAGTAATTATCTAGAAAAGTACTTCTCAAACTTTATTGTGTATACAAATTGCACCGAGATTATCTTAAAATGCAGAATCTGAGTCTGGGGCTGGAACCTGAGGTTTTGCATTTCTAACAAGTTCCCAGGCAATGTCAATGTTGCTAGTTCAGTTACTGAAGACAGAAGTATAGTCACTTGTGATGCACATATACTGTTTTTTCCTGCCTACCATCTTTTCCTTTGGGAACCCAACCCTCTGCCATTCATGTGGTTCTAGTGGAGGGTGGCAATGTCAGTATCCCAGATTCCCTTGGGCACAAAGATTGTCAATTATAGTACCCAATGTCCGGCAAGAGGGGAGGGGATGACCCAACCAGGCAAATAACCATCTCTTTCCTTACATGATATGAATACATGGGTTGTGTGGGAAAGAAGTCCTTCATGGGTGTTTCTGAACTGAGAGTATGTAAAGCTGGGCTGTGGATGGCCATCTTCTTGACCATATGAAGGGAACTTGTCTGAGGAATGAACCCGGATAGAGAAAATGAGCCTAGTTTCCAAGGCTGTGGATTCCTTGATGCTGCAACTAAGCATTCTACCCCATTGCACAGATTAATACATTTCTGCATTACTTAAGCTTGCTTAAGTAGGGGTTCTGCCAACTGCAACCAAGAGTCTAGACAATTACACTGGATGAAAAAAGGACGAAAAAAGAATTATTGTACTAATTTTCAACTTTGGAGGGGGATAGAGTCTCATTCTGTTGCCCAGACTGGAGTGCAGTGGCATGATCTCAGCTCACTGCAAACTCTGCCTGCTGGGTTCAAGCAATTCTTGTGCCTCAGCCTCCGAGTAGCTGGGATTACAGACATGCACCACCATACCCAGCTAATTTTTGAGTTTTTAGTAGAGACGGGGTTTTGCCGTGTTGGCTAGGCTGGTCTCAAACTCTTGGCCTCAAGTGATCCACCTGTCTCGCTCGGTCTCCCAAAGTGCTGGGATTACAGGTATGAGCCACCAAACCTGGCCTGATTTTTAATATTTTTAATGTTTATCATCTCAACTAGATAGTGTATATCTTGTGTTAAACACAAAGACAAGTCCCCTATAGCCTCCCTCCCTACCACTGCATCTCAAATATAAATTCTTAATAACCATTTAGCTACAATGAGGATAAGAAGGGTCTTTAACATTTGTGATTTTGTAGTAACTTTCTCCTGTCAACATGTCATTTTTAAACACTTTTTAAATAAGTCTAAGTGCAGAAAACACATAAGACAAATATATAGCTTAATACATTATTGTGAGTCAAACATAATGGTTTAACATTTACCCAGTATATCACACATTTTTATTACATTTAACCACCACTAACAACTCTAAAGGTAGGAATAGTTTTTCCTATTGGAGAAATGAAGTCTCAGTATGGCTAAATGACCCTTTCAAAACCACAAAGGATCCGAGTCATAGTGTCTTGCTACTGCAAATAGGATTACATTGTTTTTAAGAGACCTATTTAACTTTAAAGTGCCAGGCACATCTGAATGGGGTTACAGGTTGCTTTTAAAGCTCTCTTTCTATCGGTAAAATATACTTTAGCATTATCCATTTCCATCAGACATGAAGCATAAACTTCACCGGCGGTATCCCGGCACAGATGACAGAGGCTTGGACCAGAGTGATAGCAATGGCAGTGGTCGCATTTGGGGAATACTTGAAGGTAGAGCTTACAGGACTTGCTGATGTTGTAGGTAGTATGTAAAGAACGACGTCAAGATAATGCTAAATTTTTGCCCTGAATACATGGAAGAATGGAGTTAACATTTTTGGGGAAGTGGGAAGACTGTAGGAGTAGGTTTTTTGTTTTTTTTTTTTAGCGGGGGTAGTCGGGAAACATGAGTGCTGTTTCAGACATATTGAGAGTCCCATTACATATAAATAAGTGGAGAGATGGACTAAGTATTTAGATCCACAGTAGAAATGTGACAAGAAACGTCTCACTCAACACGCCGCTCAGGAACCGCTAATCCCTTCCTTCACGCGTTCCCCCTGGCTGCAAACGTCCCACAAACGCAATCACCAACGGATGGAAAAGTGGCTGACGGTGTCACAGGGTAGTCACAGCCAGCGCACGCTGCCTTTTATCATTCTACCGGCTGTCCCCAGACCCTTACCTGACAGCTCTGTGCTCACCCTGGTTCAGCTCCCGGGAGCGCGCGCTGCGCAAGCGCCCACGGACCAGCGTCGGACTTCCGGGCCTCGGCTCCTACCAGTTTCCGAGAGCAGACTGAGTTGGAAACTTGCGGTAGACGAGGCTAGGAAGACGTGGTGACTGCGCTTGCGCAAGACCAGCTTTCTGCGCACGCGCTCTTTCCCTGTTTCCTGCCGGCCGGGGTGCGGGAGGTGGGGCATCCGGGTCTCCTGGTGGCTGCTGTCGCCCCGCGGGCTCAGCTGATCCGTTCTTCCAGACTAGGAGGTGAGGCCGAAGCATGCACGGTGACATGCACGCACTCCTGTCCCACCTACATTTTCAGAGGGGTGGGGAGGAAATTTGAGTACGAACGTTTTCGCTTTTTGGTTCCGTGCTTGGTTCCGAGCCGCCGCCTCTTGCGATTGACAGCCTGCGGAACCCCACGGAGGCTTGCGGCGGCCTCTTGCGTTTCCCCCGGTCCGGTGCTGCAGTTCTTGGAGTAGCCGGGTGAAGCCAGATCCCGAGCGCGCGATCCCGGATCGCCAGGTGTTGTCACTGACGCTTCGGCCGCCGGGACCTGGCCGCCCCACCCATCCCAGTAGGAAGAGTCTTGGAGATCTGCGGTTCGGGATGTCTGTGCTGGGTGTTTTGACCTCGGTCCCCCTGACCAGGTGCCGCGCGGGTGGGTAAAGGTGCGATATACCGAGCAGTGGACGAGAAAAAGAGGAGGATGGTTGTCGGGCCCGACCGGGGTGTTTGATCTTAGTGCCTCAGTTTTCTCCTTTATAGAACGGGTAAATGGCATTTGTGTTGCTGGGCATATTTCTTCTGGAATAATGCCTTTTTATTGCAATATTTAATTTTCCTTTCACCTCATGATTCATTCTTCCTTATCAAGCAGTTTTTGTTTTTGTTAGCATTTTTGTCCTTTAAAAGTATGTTCTCCGGTTTTGCCTCAAAGAAGTTGTGTTTTTCCCAAAGTGAAATGAGAGAGTAATACTTTTCTTAGTGGATATATTCATTAAGCTTGACTTTTGACATTAAAAAGTATTTACTTTTTACTCTGTTAATTTAAGGTGTGAATTTAAAACTTCAGTAATGGAGTTGGCCCACAGTTTATTGCTAAATGAAGAAGCTTTGGCTCAAATCACTGAAGCAAAAAGACCAGTTTTTATCTTTGAATGGTTGCGATTTCTTGACAAAGTCTTGGTTGCTGCCAACAAGGTATGGTACTGCTTTTTTTTTTTTTCTTCCCAGTTGCATAAACGTAAAGAGATTAAGTGTTCATGATTCGTAAGAAAACACACGTTATGTTTTGGAAGGTTTGTGGGTAACTTATGGAACTTGAGAATATTACGCTTATGGGAATTGCTAGTCTATTCCTTTTCCATTTAGTGGCAATGCTTCGTTTAAATACAGCTCATGGCCTTTCTACTTTATGTCTCTATCTGGGTAGCTCATTGTACCTGAGAAAAATATGACTATGTGATGTGTCACTTTAAATTTATCATCACCAATTGCAAGTGGTTTCTCTGTGCTGCCTAACAATCCCAGTATCTTCAGTTATCTCTCTGAGGAGTTAATAGCAGACTTTTTTCTTTGTTTTCTTCCCGTATAACCTTGATTCAACTTGCTTTTTATTGTCTGTGTCTTTTATATTTACGTCTTTAAATGTAGATGCAGCCAGGCCTAGTAGTAGTTCATGCCTGTAATACTAGCTCTTTGGGAGGCTGAGGCGGATGGATCACCTTAGGTCAGGAGTTTGAGACCAGCCTGGTCAACATAGTGAAACCTCATCTCTACTAAAAATACAGAAATTAGCCAGGTGTGGTGGGGGTGGGGGCACCTGTAATACCGGCAACTTGGAGGGCTGTGGCAGAAGAATCGCTTGAACCCGGGAGATGGAAGTTGCAGGGAGCCTAGATAGCACTGTTGCACTCCAGCCTGGGCAACAGGAGTGAAACTCCCTCTCCAAAAAAAAGAAAAGGCCAGGCATGGTGGGTCACACCTGTAATCCCAGCGCTTTGGGAGGCTGAGGTGGGCAAATCACAAGGTCAAGAGATTTAGACTGTCCTGGCCAACATGGTGAAACCACTTCTCTACTGAAAATACAAATACTCCTGAGCGTGGTTGCGAAGGCCTGTAGTCACAGCTACTCAGAAGGCTGAGGTGAGAGAATTGCTTGAACACAGGAGGTGGAGGTTGCAGTGAGCCGAAATTGTGCCACTGTATTCCAGCCTGGTGACAGAGCGAGAGCCATCTCAAAAAAGTTAATAAAAAATGTAGATGCGCCGGGCGTGGTGGCTCAAGCCTGTAATCCCAGCACTTTGGGAGGCCGAGGCTGGTGGATCACGAGGTCAACATGGTGAAACCCCGTCTCTACTAAAAATACAAAAAATTAGCTGGGCATGGTGGTGCGTGCCTGTAATCCCAGCTACTCAGGAGGCTGAGGCAGGAGAATTGCCTGAACCCAGGAGGCGGAGGTTACGGTGAGCCGAGATCGTGCCATTGCACTCCAGCCTGGGTAACAAGAGTGAAACTCCGTCTCAAAAAAAAAAAAAAAAAAAAGTGTAGATGCTTTCCTCAAATGTCTGATGATCTTTGGCTGCCCACTCAAATTTAAAAATGAGTATTAAAAACTTTTCTCGGCAGGGCCAGTCTCTTAAACTGAACATCACTGTAGGCGGGGCTCATTCCTGAGCTTAGTATTTTAGCTTTCTGCAGGCTAGTCATTCCCCAGAAGATACTTTTCTGCTTTTGTGTCTGAAGAGTATATGGCTAGCTGCCCACATTCTTGGAATTGTAGGAGAAGACTGGGGGCTTTAACATTCAGTATGTGAGCTTTCACTGTATCTCCTCATTTTCAGTGCTGTTTTCCCAGGCTGCAACCGTGCCTGGGCTCTCCTAGTCCAGACATACAATATTTCACTCTTCCCAGAGAATATGCTTTCAGTCTTTTTCCAGAATGGAGGAGAGGAATCCTACTACTTCTTAGACTCTCAATCATTCCCTGTATCTCAAGGTCCAACTTCACTCCCAACCTCCAAAGCACCTAGGGCCTAAAAAAAACCCCATAATTTCTTAGGGTGTCCTGTGTTATAAGGTAGGTCCTTTCTCAGCTTTCCCTGTTGGAAACACTTGTTTTCCAAATATTGTGTTGATTCTTTTTCCTGTTTTCTTTACCCTTTGGATTTGTGCTTTGTTGTTGTTGTTACCCTTTAGTATGGTTTTAATGGAGTTTCTATAGAAACAGTTAATGCATGGATTCACTTGTAATCTTTAACTAAAAGTTTCTGTTTTCTCTTAAATACCCTACAACTGGGCTTTTGTTACTTCTACTCCACTGAAACAGCTCTTGTCCAGCCATCACTGATGACAGATTGCCCAAAACAGTGGTCAGTATTCTGTCTTATTTGATCCATCTCCATCTTTCACCTTGAAACACTTTAAACATTTTTAATTTTGTTGCAAAATTGATAAATACAAGAGTACGTAAAACATTTCTAGGTTATGAAGCATAATAATATAAATATCTGTACGCCTCCACCCAAATTAAAAAATAGCATTGTTATTGCTTTGCACAGTTTGTGTGAAGTTTTCTTCCTGTTTGTGGCTTCCCAAGACACTGTTAGGTTTTAGTTCCTCTCCCACTTCACTAACTGCTACTTTTTTTTTTTAACTCTTCCTCAGTTCAGGGCATTAAAAAAAAAATTTACACATATTCCTTCAGTGATATCGTCTAATTGTATGATTTTTACTATCATCTATATAATAATTATTCCAGGATAATGTTTACTCCACCTCTTTCTTATCTAAGTGGCATTCCAGAGTTAACATACCCAAACCAAATTCTTGATTTCTCCTCCAAAACCTCTTTCTCCTGTGTTTTCTATCTCAGGAAATGACCATTTCATCCTTTTAGCTGCTCAGGGTGAAAACCCTAGAGTCATTTTTGACTTCCCTCTTTTTCTCAAACTTCTCATTGTATTCACCAGCAAATCCTATGGTTTCATCCACAAATGTATCCAGAATTTATTTACTTATCATCTCCATGGTTACCACAATCATCTCTCACCTGGATTATTGCATCTGCTTCCTATTTGCTCATGATGCTTTCCATTTATGCACCTTATAGAGTATTCTTAGAAGTCATAGTGACCCTGTTGAAACATTTAGATCATGACCCTCCTCTGCTTCAAACTCTTACTCAGAGTAGCATACAAGGTTCTCTCTCTCTTGCTCTGCTCCGGCCATACTGGCCTTCTTGCTGTTTTCAAGGATGCTAAGGATGCTAAGGATGCTCCAACCTCAAGACCTTTTTTACTTGTTCTTTCGGCCTGGAATGTTCTTACCCCAGGTATCTGCATAGCTCACCCCTTCCCTTCTTTTCAGAGAGAGGCCTTTTCTAATTAATCCACATAAAATAGTAAGCACCCATACTATTCATTTGTTTGTTAGGTAAACTCTGTCCCTGTCCACCAGAATGTAAACTTCATGAGGGCAGGGACTTTTTGTCTATTTTGTTCTCTGTTGCACCTTACTACGTGGCATACATTAAGAACATTAATAAATATTGTTTGAATAAATGAATGAATTACAGGTATTGATTATGGGTAGAGCTGGGCATTCTTTTTTTCCTGTTGCCTAGGGCTCTTTAGAGTTTCTTTTGGTTTCATTTGCTGACCTATAACTTTATGAACTACTGACTTTGCTTTTACATGGGAAACCTAAGTTCTACAACATCAGTTATCCATACATCCAATATATCCAGTATTTTGCATCCTTCGATTGTTGGTTTATTTCTTAGTAAGTTAATCTTGTAACTTTTTGAATCAGAGTCTTCAGTTTTATTGGAGCTTGCCTTTTAGCTTTGGAGGAGAATGAAGGAGAATATTTAATATAGGAAAAAAATGGCCCTTTTTTTTGAGATGGAGTTTTGCTCTGTCGCCCTGGAGTGCAGTGGCGTGATCTTAGATCACTGCAACCTTCATCTCTCGGGTTCAAGTGATTCTCCTACCTCAGCCTCCCAAGTAGCTGGGACTACAGGCGTGCGCCACCACACCCAACTAATTTTTGCATTTTTAATAGAGATGGGGTTTCACCATGTTGTCCAGG